TAGAGGGTTCAATTCCTAACATACCATCCCTTGCTTAAGATTATAGAGAACGGGGATAAGCTTTCTATACTTTTTCTTATTCTTTAATTTATTTAAGATACTACCTTCATCATTTCCATCTTCCATTATTTTCACGCCTACACCATCACCATTTTCATCACCATTGAAACATCATTCATTTATCATTAAGGAAAACGTCCATAATCACCATTGGAGGCTGAATCATCTTCCATTTGAAGGGTATTTCTATATCACTTCCCCAACCTACTTTGATAACAACTCTATCCCTTTATTTCTTTATCAATTTAGTTCTTTCATTAATTTCTTATTCCATTTAATCATTTCCTTCATTTCTTTGTGCAGATTACTTATAAATTCAAGTGTGACATTTGGTGTCTCTCCTAGATCGAGAAATAACAAGGATGCCATCTTCTCCATCATTAAAGAAACTTGGATAGTCTTACATCAATTTCTTAAAGTGTCACCTTGGAAGAAAGTATTATGATTTAGGCGCAAAAAAAAAAGTTGAGTCCGAGATTCATTAGACCTTATGAGATTTTGAAAAGGGTTGGACCACTAACTTATCAATTAGCTTTGCCTCTTGATATGGACATGATCCAAAATGTTTTTCACTTTTCGATGCTCGGAAGGTACCGATCAGATCCATCCCATATTATCACACTAGAAGAAATAGAGATCCGACCAGATCTAACTTATGAGGAAGAACCAGTACGGATTTTGGCTCGAGAAAGCAAAGAACTACGTAACAAGAAGATTCCTCTAGTTAAAGTACTTTGGCAAAACCATAAGGTAGAAGAAGCTACTTGGGAAAGAGAGGAGGACATGAAGAAGCAATTTCAATACCTCTTCGTATTAGGTACTTCTTAAAATTCGAGGATGAATTTTCTTAAGGGGGAGAATTGTAATACCCCAAATATCGGGTCGATAACCATAATGAAAGGATTTAAAATTTGGAGGATTTAATTAAATAAATGGTAAAGTACAAGAACAGAATTAGAAAATTTGCTTAAGACTAATTATTAAGAATGGAGGGGTAATTTAGTCTTTTAGATAGAATGAATTTAATATTCATTTAAAGGGGATATTTAATAAGGATAGAAATGAGAAATGGGAAAAAGCTGGAAAGAACTTGGTTATCTTCTCTTTTTTCCCGTGTTCCCGTTTTCCCCATAGCCAAATGTAAGACTTCATCTAGCTAGTTTTTCCTTTCGTTTTTGGTTTGGTCTTGAAACCTTAAGTGACGTGGAAGCTTAAGGAAGTTTTAAAGAGGATTAAAACTAAGAGATGGATGATTTATTTGAGATTGAAGAAAATGAGTTTTTGAGTGATATGTTGAAATATGAGTTTTTATTGAGGTTTACAAGTATATTTAACTTGTCAAAGAAGTAAATAAGAGATTAGAAGACTTGAAAGTGATTAAAAACATGTATAAAAAATTGTGTGATTCTTAGTTTGGGATGTTCTTTGGAGATTTTAGATGTTATGAGAAGCTAAATGGGGGGAAGTTAGTTGGCTTAAGTGATGATAAGTTTAAGGGTATTGTTGGAGGTAAAAGTAAGAGAATTTAACGAAATTTGGGTAAAAATCGAAATGAAAAATGAAAATATCTGGGTAAGGGTATCGGTACTGGAAGAACAGTATCGATACTATAGGTTTAAATTTGAAGAAATACGATGAATAATATCGATATTGATATAAGTAGTATCGATACTGCTGGAGGTATCGATACTAATAAAAGGTATCAATACTATGGATTCCAGAACAAAAAATTGTATTGATACTGAAAGGGAGTATCGGTACCATAGTATAGAAGTATCGATACCATAGTAGGGGTACTGATACTATTGAGCCTGGAATTGTAAGATATGATGAATATTTAATAGAATTTGAAAATAATAGTATTTTTAAGTATTATTAAAGGAATAAATGTTAGAAAATATACTAATATTTGGATGGTATGTGTAATTATGGATACTTGTGTAGATCATAACTAAGCTCCAGAGTCAAGCAAGAAAAAAAGGCAAAGATAAAGTTGTCGAATAGCTGGACATCCTTAAAGCATATTAGTGAGGCATATCAGGTGAGTGCATTTATTGTACTTAAATGAAATTAGGAAGACTCGCGATGAGTCAACCTCGAATGTTTTGTTAAATGTATGTTTTACAGCATTTTGGTATATTTTCATAATGTGTATGGGAGTGATATTATGAATAAGTTTTACAGTATGAACTGCTCTAAAATGAATGGATGAATATTGATGTTTTTCAATGGTTATCGATGTTTCCAAAATAAATGTCTAAATCTGTGAATTTGACTTAAAAGCTCATTGTATGTGCATTGAGAGTCATAGGTGCATTTCGGTATAAAAGGTGCCACTAATGAAAGTTATTGATCGATTTTGTTTAATGCATAACGGTGCATTTTCGGCATAAAAGGTGCCACCCATGGTATTCATAAAAGGTGAATTACCATTTTGACATACTTCGTGTATGAAAGTTATCGATTGATTTTGTTTAGTGCATAACGGTGCATTTTCAGCATAAAAGGTGCCACTCATGGTATTAATAAAAAGTGAATGACCATTTCGGCACTTCGGTGCAATGCATGTACCTTACATTCTCATTTGACATACATTGGGAAAACTAAAGGATAATTGGGAAAAATATACAGAAAGATAGGTATGCTGGGCATACTAAAATAGTAAAAGGTGCCACCCATGGTATTCATAAAAGGTGAATTACCATTTTGACATACTTCGTGTATGAAAGTTATCGATTGATTTTGTTTAGTGCATAACTGCATTTTCAGCATAAAGGTGCCACTCATGGTATTATAAAAAGTGAATGACCATTTCGGCACTTCGGTGCAATGCTGTACCTTACATTCTCATTTGACATACATTGGGAAAACTAAAGGATAATTGGGAAAAATATACAGAAAGATAGGTATGCTGGGCATACTAAGAATAGTTTCGATGACTATAGGAAAGAAACTTGGTTTGATAAAATGGTTTTAATTATTCTTATGAATTATATGATTTAGTTCGTATTTCGATAGCCATGATATACTTATGTATGAATTGTAGTTCCTTTACATTATTATGCCTCACTAAGTAAATACTTAGCGTGTGTTGATTTCACGCATAGGTAAGAGCAAAGATTAGCCGAGTAAGGAGTGCAGCAGATATCAACAATCCAAGGTTGACTTATCAGTAACTATAGAATAATTATGTTTACTTTTGATAATTAGATGGCATGTATTTGAACTTATGAACATGCTCTGAAATGTATTAAAGTTATAATTTTTGTAATATGTTACAAATAATGTTTTATTATTATATTCAAATGTTTTGTTTTATTTTCGAAACAAAATTTTATGGATTTTACAAATAAGTAAATGTTTTTAAAAGTCATGTGACACATGTGACTTGTGTACGGAAACATATACAGGAAATGGGTGTTACACAATCCCCTAAGAGGCTTTTTTTCCTCCTCTCTATTTTGCTCGACCGAGAGCTCCTCACAAAACCAAGGACCACGTCGGCTCGGGATTCCAACGAGGAGCTCGAGGAAAGGTAAACTCACTCCTCTATCCCTATATTTCTACTTGAAAAAAAGAAAATAAAGAAGAAAACGGGTACTAAAAAAAATGAACCTTTAGAAATGTTTTCTTGTTTTTGCTATTGTATTTCGAATAATGGGGAATACTTACAATTTTTTTTCTTTTCAAAAAAATCCACCCTCAATGTTTTTTACAATCTTTTTTTGGGTTTTTATATAACCCTGGTTTTACAAGTGTAAAATAAAAGAAATTTTGAAAAATACATATGTTGAATTTTGTGTTGTTGCTTGCTTGTTGGTGGGGAGCTGAAACCTGGACGTGAAGCAAGGGAAGCCACGGCTGGAGTTGGGGTGTTGGCAGCTGCTGTGTGGAGCAGGGAACCAACTGGACGGTTATCGTGGAAGTTGTTGGAAAGCTACTGAAACGTGGAGGACCTGCTGCTGGAGGCTAAGGTAAAAACAAAAATGGTGATTACAAAAATATTATGATTCTGCATTCATAATAAGAATATGTTACTTTTCTTAGTTTCCATATGTTGATCCGATCTCTTATGGTTTTTTTTTTTTTTAAATCAAAGTTAATAAGGGAAATATATCCGAAACGATAGAATCCTCTTATGGAAAACAAACAAGTTTTACACTAATATATAATCATTAAATTTAAATAAATAACTTAGATTTAATTATAATTTATAATTTATAAATAAATATATTTATGATAATGAACTACTACTCCTAGAACTACAAGTTTACTGATGATCGGCGGTAGATTTATCCCAAATTATGGTTGACATAGACATTCTGAGTCTATTTAACAATTGTTGTTTTTTTTAAAAGAAAAATCAAATTTAGTCAGAGGAATATATATTTGAATCTTAAATATAACAACCCTAATATAAGCCCTAAAAGGATATTCTTTGGAAAATAAACTTAAAAAGGAGAATAAAAAATTAAACTTAAAACCAACATAAAATTTGTCTTAATTACAGTGAGACAGAACCCCTTAATATTCTGAGGATAAATGATCCTGGTAGTGTACCCTAAACTAAAGTTCAATTTGTGAGAACAAAAAGAGTTTCGTTCTTCTATCAGTTTTTTATTTTATATAAATATGTCTGGACTTAAGATTCACTTCCAGACTTGTTTGATGAATATATTTGCTTTACTCGTTGAATTTAGCTTCAGTTGAAGAACCAAGAAAAGACAATCAACAAACTTTGTTTCTTATTTCTACTTAAAATCCAACAGAAAATCAAAGTATAACAATCTATTTTTTATGGATTGGTCTGGTAGTACAGCGTTGGGCTTCCACCATTACATATCTTGAATTAATGCTTGAGAATATATGTACATTGAATTCATTCCAAAAGCTGCTTGATTCCAAGCATTGTTTTCACTCTCTTAGTCTTCCACTAGCACCGATAACGATGGAGGTTAGGCTGTAACAATAGTTAGCTCAGTGCATTCTTTATCCACACAATTTTGATTCATCAGTTTTTGCTCTTTGGTTTTTCCCCACAGCACACTGTATAGCCCAGCAATCAATAAAAGCCCCCCTACCACACTGGAGAAAAAACCACAAGAAAATGAGTTTAAATAATATAAAACTCCAAGGTTAAACTAATTGTAAATTAACCCACCTTCCTAAACTGGTAAACTCGCACAACAGAAATGCAGAACACAACATTGTGAAGATGAGATTCAATGGTGTTGACATGGCCAAGAAAACCGGCCCTTTCTTCTCAACAACCCACGATTGTAGGTAATATGTCACGCCTGTCACCACAACGCCCTGCCATTATAATATTTTCATCAATCCAAAACCCGTACACTTCTCATGCCTAACTACAAAGAGTTGTGGTAGTACTAGTAGATATGCTTACACAATAAGCCACCGCGACGAGCCTAACGTTCCAACCGAGTCGCCATTCGTAAGGGTCTCTTACCAGAGCAATAGCAATACCGAATGACTGAATCGAGCTTAGGAAACACTGAAGAGCCGTGAATAGAAGCATCGATGGGTAGCTCTTCAAGACCGGTCCCTGTTTCACACCAAATTAGTAACATGTTTTTCAATTGTACTAATGTGATTTTTATTAAGGCACAAGTTGAACCTGCAAGACGAGCCACAAGCCCCAAAAGGTGACAGAAATCAACTTGAGGATACAACCCTTGATCCATGTGAGACCGGAGGAAGTAGCGGTATCGAGTGTTTGGGCATGGTGGGTCTGCTGTGACAGGTGACGGAGGCAGAAAACTTCGAAATGGGGACCCTTGTATAGGGCAAGGGTGAGTACACCAGCCAAACAAATTATGATGCCTGCGAGTTTTGCAATCCCAGCACTTGTCTTCAATCTCAATGCCTCCATCCTGCCGTACAAAATATCTCCAAAGATTAAACAAACACTAAAAAAAAATCATAATTTGTCGTAGAACACAAGGAATTGTGGTCCAACGATTGATATTTGATACTTCAGGTTCTGCCATGAGCAATTGTATTGGGTGGAGACCATATATTCAGTTGTTTGTTTCTATTGAAAATCCAACATTCATTCACATTAGCAGAAAAGGGCCTAACATATTGATTTGACACTGTATATAAGAGCACGTGTTAGGAAAATTACATGTTTGCAGGTACTGTTTGATGTTTTCTGAATTTATTACATTCTGGCTTTTTCATTGCGGATACAACACCAGGGACCCTATGTTTCTTTTCTCGATTTTGATTGAAAGCCATTGTTTAACTACTCAGATAAAATAGATCAGAGACCGGAGAATAGACAGAAGGGTGAACACTGTCAATTAACTCAGGTAAGGTTGAACGGTTGGATCTTTAAAGTCTTATATTGGAGTTTCACCACATATAAAAATGTGTGGTTTTCTCTATAGTTATCTTTTTTTTACCCTCCCAGTTCTCGAGATTTTCTCTCGAATAATTTGAACCGATTCAGGTCGTACACTTGATTTTGGTAGATGAATCTCTCAAAGGAGATTCTTTTGCATACACAAAGACTCGCACTCGAGATATTTCTTAAATGATATCAAGTTGATTACCACTTGAATTAACCTCGTTAGTTATCTAAAGTTATCTTTAATTAAGCTCTATAATTATATTAATAAAGTAAATCTTAGATTTGACCTCAAAGACCTGCTAGACCATTTAATTCCCTCCATGGGACAAACAAAAAGGAAAATCTGCCCCAAAATAATTTTTTTAATAAACTTAGCATATTCTTGTCCATATGAGACCCACCGGCCAAATCTTTAAAACAGAACTATTTCCTATTAAATTTCAACAAAAACATTCTTCACGCTGAAGCAACCTTGTAATTATTTTTAATTACAGCACAGAAAAGATGACTCCAAAATCATGTTAAATGAAAGTAGTGTGTGTGTTATAATTTTTTATATAATTAAAATTGTTTAACTTGAGATCAGATGTCGAAATAAAAATTTTCTTTATGTGTAAAATTTATTAAATAATATAAAAAATACGATGATTGAATCACATAAATATAAATTTTAACACAAATCCTACTATTCAAATCCTAGAGGTCATAAAAAATGGTGAAAAGTGAAACTTAAATGTAAAGAAAATAATATATATTGATCATACCCGAGTAGTAATGCCAAGAAAAAAGTGATGACAGGCAGGCAATTTGTTGTTGCAGCAGCTAAAGATGCAGATGTATAAACCAGGGCCAGACCATTGATATCCAAGCTTAAAGTTATCCTGTAATTTAAAATTTCTCAAAACAGTAAGGGAGTGAAATGGTTTCTCCGAGTATGATAGTCATGGATTTTAATAGCAGTCTATAATTGTAATAGTTCCTGTTATATAATGATAACCGTGCCGTCTAAAACTGTTATTGCATAATTATAACATCCTTAATAATCGGAATAGCGTCCATTAGGTCTGTCGTCATGATAAATATAACGTGATCATAACTGCAATTTAAATCCGTGATGATAGCTGATGCATGTGTTGTTTTAACAAGTGATTTCAACTGGACTTACCCGAACAAAGACAGCAAAAAGATCTTGCAGAATGTCCCGAATGATAGAGGGGGCAAAGATTTCCTTGAGTTTCCAAAGGAAATAATCAGTGAGATGGTTTTATACATGTATATATATAGATAGATAGATATAGTTGTTGAACGTTTGGCAAAGAAAATGAAATTACCATTCAAGGAACAAAGCGAGAGGGACCAAGAAAATAGTTGCAGCCGCCTGTCTGTAGAAAACGAAGACGAAATTGTTCATTCCGCCATTGAAGGCGGCCTTGGAGAGCAAGAACATGCCGGCATAGATAGATTGGATCAGAATAATAGCGAGATAGGGCTTCTTTGAATCCATGTTTTGGTGTTGGTAAATGATGATTTGCAGTTGAGAGTGCAGAAATGGAGGAGGGAGGGAGGGTTTATATAAATAACAAGTAGAATAGTGAAGGATTTACATGCCTTTTCTTTCTATTGGGACGTGTGTGGATATCATAAAGGGGACGCTGTTTGACACAATGGGACCACCAAAACCAATTACTCTCTTCTCAATCATCCTTGTAATTGATTTTTGAATTGGATACGTGGCATGAGGGTTTCCGTTTCGATTTCAATTTTTGTTTCATACTAATTTAGTATTGTTGATTAGACAAGTATAATTACGGTGTCTATCGGTGGTTTACTCTTTTAATTTGGACATAGAGTAATAATAAATGACTTTATAGATATAAAAAGTGAATAGGTTGAAGAGGATAATGAACAATTGTTTTAAAATTAAACAGAGAATCTCCTTTCATTAATTTTACATGAAGTTTACGAGTTTTTAATATTGATGTCATGTTTCTTATCTAAAATAATAATCCGAGACGAAATTGAATTGAGAAAATAAAAAAAAATTAAACTTCTTAAAAATAATAAAATATATGAGAAAAAAATACTCTTTCGTTTGGTCTTTTGATCGGAAATAATTAAGGCATGTCACTACATAATTTCCTTAAGACAGATTTTCGGTCATTCCTTTCATGCTCAAGATCTTTTGGTCGTCTGTGTCCCAGGATACAACAACTCGATGATAAACGAACAATAACACAAACTTTCCAGATCACGAACTATCTCTTGTTTTTTCCTATCACTGGAAAACTAGAGAAAGAGAAAATATTTTTCAAGAAAAGTAAAGTTCTTAAATTATGTCTTCTTTTTAATCTAGAAGGTTAACATTCTATTTATAAGATATTCTCAAAGTAGATTTTACTAAAAATAGTGTTATTCATTAATATTCAAACGCTAAAAGATAATATCTTTTAATTTGAAATATTTAAAAAATATATTGATATATTTTTAATATTTAAATTTAATAAGATAATAAATATCTTTTAATTTAAATATTTAAAAATATATTGATATACTTTTAATATATGTTAATATTAAAATTGAAAAAGATAATAAAATATCTTTTTACTTTTAGATATTTAAAAGGATATCATTATCTTATTAATATTCAAATGTAAAGAGATAATAAATATCTTTTAATTTAGAATATTTCATCAATGAATTCACTTCATTTTTCCAACAATCATCCACATAAATGAATTTGATGATTTTATCAAAACATTATGACTGGATGTGGTGATAAACTCTACTATGGATAGTTGCATAAGATAGGTAGGTGTCCTCCTTTAAACTTTTCCTTGTGATAATATATTTACTTTACTGGCTAAATAGTAGACGTGATGTCCTTGAACTATTTTACCGTTTGTGTAAACGATGATATACTCCATGTAACTACTCTTATGACAAGAATTTTAGTTCTCATAGGTATGTACTTAAAGCCATAGACATCGTTTGGTTCTACAAGAGTTTGAAATGACTATGCCTGATAGTCTCCTTGAAGTGGCCCCACTTCACTCTCACATAAGTGAGTTATGTTGCATGACTTGCCGAAGTACTTAATGATCATTAAAAGCTTTGCTTTGTCTATACCACTGTGATCACTATTTACATCATAGGAACGTACTTCGGATAAGAAACCCCCATAGTGGTCATAAATGGTTTATACAATTATGGTATTCCTTTGAACCTAGATCTTAAAATCTTCAGTCAGCAATATAGGGTTTTTCTTCACATAACATCTTTAAATTTCATGAGGTTTAGTCATATTCCTTTAGATGTTTTCTCAATTTGTTCTGGATTTAACTCTTTGGTTAGCGGATCTGTGATGTTGTCCTTTGATATTACAAAATCAATAGAGATAACTTCATCTAAGATAAGTTGTGTAATGGTATTATGTCGACGACACATATGTCTCGATTTACCATTATACATGAAATTTTGTGCTCTAACAATTGTTACTTAGTTGTTACAGTATATGCATAATGTGGGCATAGGTTTCAGCCATTCTGGAATTTCAAGAAAGTCTTGAACTCATTCTACTTGTTTTCCAGATTTTTCTATAGCTACAAACTCATATTTAATTGTGGATCTAATTATAATCGTTTGTCTTGAGGATTTTCAAGACAAAACTCTTCCTCCTAAAGTGAGTACATATCCACTTGTACTTTTGGTATCTTAAATATCATATATCCAACTAGCAACGAAGTATCCTTCTAAGACAACAGGATCTATGGAATAATGCAAATAATAATCTCGGGCATATCTAAGATATTTCAACATCCTTGTTATTTCTTTCCAGTGATTTTCACTTGGACTGCTTGTGAATCTATTTAGGCAACTCACAGTAAAATCAATGTCTAGTCTCGTACACCTCATGAGATACATTAGGTTACTTATGACCCTTCCATATTCCACCTAGTGAACACTTTCACCTTCATTCTAAGATAGATGTGAACAAGTCTATTGGAGTTATAACTATACCATAATCTTCTTTGTTAAATTTCTCAAGAATCTTATCCGCATAGTGTGACTAAATTAGTATGAGGCCTTCAGATGACATTTTAATTTGGATGCCTAGAATTGTATCAACCAATCCCATATCTTTTATGTCAAATCTTAAATTTGACATGTCTTTGGTACATTTTACCATTTCATTGTTACTTTCAACAACGTGTATGTTATCAATTTACAAGCATATAATAACATATCTCATGTTTGTAGTTTTAACATATACACACTTGTCACACTCATTTATCTTTAAATTATTTGCCATCATGACACTATCAAATTTCTTATGTCATTGTTTTGGTGCTTGTTTAAGTTAATACAAAGAGTTTACCAACCTACAGACTTTCCTTTGTTGAGCTAGAACTACATGACCCTTAGGTTGTTCCATATTTATTTCTTTGTCAAGGTCTCCATTTAGGAAAACTATTTTAACATTCATTTGATGTACTTATAGATTTCACAAAGAAACAATTACGAGTATTATTCTTATGAATGTTATTCTTCATACAAGAGAGTATGTATCAAAGTAGTCAATGACTTTCTTTTGTTGGTATAATTTTATTATCAATCTAGCCTTGTACTTATCAATTACTCCATCTACTTTCATTTTTCGTTTGAAAATCTATTTAGAATTTAGTGGTTTAATCCCTGGAGGGAGATTTACTAATTTCCATGTATGGTTTTGCATGATGGAATATGTTTTGCTTTTAATGACTTTCTTCCATAAGGTGCCTTCAGAGGATCGTATAACATCACTATACGTTTGAGATTCATACTCCAACATATAAGTTAAGAAGTTTGGTCTAAAGGATTTTTTCACCCTTTCTCGTTTACTCCTTGACTTTATTTCAGTTTCAGCCTCTTGTTGATAATCTAAATTGTCTTCATTGTTAGTCTCTAAAGTTTGTTTCACTAAGGTTTGATCAACCTCCTTAGATTTATAAAAGAAAATATTTTCAAAGAATGATGAATACTTTGATTTCATTACCGTGTTCTTGTGAATCTCATGATTCTTTGGTTCATACATAAGAAATCGATACACATCACAATGTTCTGCATAGGAAAGTAAAATCCACGTTTTTAGGACCTATTTTTATTTTCTTTGGTAACGGGATCATTACATTGACAAGAAACCCTCATATTTTCAAATGTTAGTAGAAAGGTTTCTGACCTTTCCATAATTCATATGGTGTCTTATCGTTTTCTTTTCGAGATACCTTATTCAAAAGGTAGTCAGCTAAAATGATAGTTTCCACCCACATGTCCTTTGATAACCCAGAACTACCTAACAAGGCATTCAACATTTCTTTTAGAGTCTGATTTTTCCGCTTGACTACTCCATTTGATTGAAGAGAATATGGTGGTGTTACTTCATGAATAATACCATGTTATGAATAAAATTCACCGAATGGTTCAACATATTCACCACCACGATCACTTCTTACCATCTTAATCTTTTTATTAAGTTGATTTTCAACTTTTTTCTTGTAGATTATAACTTTATCTATAGCTTTATCTTTGCACTTTAGCAAATACACATAGTAATAATTTTTGTTATCATCATTGAAGGCAATAAAATATTTATTCCCCTTCATTTATACTATGAATTTAATAACTATGTCACTAAAATTTACCTAGTGCTAGTATTTTTTTTTTGTTTCATATTTATGGTTCAATACCATCCATAATTCTTTAGCTATTTTAAACAATGTACACTTTATAACATTCATCTGATAAGGCTTTGAGAATGTGGTTACGCCATAGAAAACATAGTTTTTTCATGCTTTGATTCGAGACCTCGGTCAAAATCAATACTTTAAATTATGTTGAACAGAATCAATAACCGATGTTACTTCCAGTAACAAATTTTGTTAAATAGATTTGTTCATGGAAATTGAGTAAAACATATTTATTCAAATTGCTTTTTGTTTAGAAAAAGTAGATCAAGTAAACTCGTTAAAATGACTGTAATTAAATTTTCGAAATCATATTTATTTACAAGATCTCACTTTATAAACCTATTCAATTTTTTTAAAAATAAATTGAACGATTTATTTCTTTTTACAAAATAGACTCATACTTGATTCTCAATAAATAAATATGATTTGTTTTATTTTTTAGAAAACATAATCATAAAAGATTCTATGTAAATAAATTTAACAATTTATTTACTTTTACAAAATGGAATTGTCCATGATTTCTAAGAAAATAAATTTGATGATTTATTTCATTTTACAAACCAGAATCATATAAGATTCACAGGAAAATAAATTCAATGATTTATTTCCTTAAAAGAGTTAGAATCAACGCAAGATTCTAAGGTAAAATAAATTCAATAATTTATTTTCCTTTTTCATTGTTATATGTTTTGTTAAACGATGCAATTTAGTAGCACTAAAACTCAAAATAGATATATCGTGACAACTCAATTTTGCTTAACAACAAAAATTAAAAGGAGCTAATCCTTTAATTTTGGTAACATAGTATTCA